ACAAATATTTTAACTTAATACATAGATTTCGCACAGCAGCAGTAAGGGAATCATCGCGTGGGTTATTTCCGCTGCGGACGCTTAGTGTTTAACCCAGGTAATACCCGGGCCTCCCGGTACCCCCTCCGCGAGTCCCCCTTACTGCTGCTATTGGGGAACTGAAGAAGTCCTGGCATGGGAAAATAGGAGGCCTGCGTTTTCGCACGCTGGTCAATTGCCTCAAATGAATCGATAAATTGCTCTATAAAACGTGTCGTTTCTGCTCAGCTATTTTCTATGCCCATATATGGAAACTACTTACCATATTTGAAGTTTGAGGTGTGTTTGTATCGCAAAAAAGACCATTTTTTCGAGGTAAGTTTTATGCAAACTTACAGAAATTCGAGTGAAAACCCATTTCTACGTCGGCCATTTTGTTTTTGTCCAAGAAAAGACTGGAGAAGAGACACAGGGTGACCGTTGTTTAATAGGCTGTTTACCACAGGAAGCCCGCGAAAACGACAAGTAAATAATTTAACATCTTTTCAAACCTGTAAAGAATTATTTGGGAAAAATAATTCTGACTGCGTCGTATAAACTTGTTGAAGTTGGATGGAGGTTTTGCATGCGAAAATCACGCTTCCTGAATAAATGCGGGAATAAAGATTTTTGTAAAGATTGCCATAAAATTTACCCTCAGAACTAAGAAATTTTTGCTCGTGCCGTGTTTTGAAAGATTAGAGTGGTTTGATAAAGAGCTCCATTAGAAAGATGTTTTGGGTTTGTCGGTCATGTTGGCTAAGAAAGCGATCCTTTGTGATTGCTTGACCGTAGGTTTCACTTTACGAGAAGTCTGAAATAAATTGACTTTAAATTGAACTATAGGGATTCATTTATAATAATGGCCTATCTAACTTCAAAGGGAGAGCGAATTTGATTTTTTGACTCTTAGTGCCACCATTTGTTTTTATTCTTGTGCACATTGTCAAGCTCAACCCACTCAAAACGTACAGGTAGCTTCTGATTGAACGTTTCAATTTTTTTTTTTTTTTTTTTTTTTTTTTTTTTTTTTTTCACACGTGAAAAAGTGATACCCGCATTGTAATTGGTTGGAAACGGTAGACAAACGAAAATATATTAAACAGGTTTGTAGTGACTAAATCTCGGTGTGTGTATAATAAATTGGGATTCTCCAAATTTTTCGAGTACTTCACTTTTCAGTTAAATACGACGCAGAACGTCAACTACTAAGTTTKGATGTGAAATGCTACTGGGTACAACTGGCAGATTCCTTGTCATTGGTTTATTTATTTTTGTGGTTCCTGTTAAAGGTAAGAGTTCTTCTGATTTAATCGCTTATTTGAAATTGATATCAATTTAATACTAATTTTAACAAATGTTTCGCGAAAATATCGAAAATATGTGAGATGAATGATTTATTTTCATTCGTCGCAAAAGTTTATCTCATCTATAAGCTTTCTATATGGTTACCTATCGACTTAAGATAAAAACCAAATCATACCCCAAGTATGGGGCCAGTCCTATGTTTGCTCAGATTTTGCTTTTTTTGTCATCAATTTTGTAAAGAGGCCTTGTACGGATTTCACACGAACCTTTTTAACAGTGTATTCAGAAAAGAAAAAGTAAAATAATACCGAAAAACGTCCGGAATAAAAGTTGCAGACCCAAAAATATTCGGATGCTTGAGGCCGACGTGGCCTAAATTCAGGACATGGGGGTTGGTCAGCGCATTATTTATTAGCGTGATTCATCAAACAAAGAAATTTTTTTTTTTCTTTTAACTTAATAAAAGAATATTCAATATGAAGCATTGTTAAAATGTTTGCTACTACTTTCAACACTACGTATTATAAATGCAGAAAGCATCGCAGACGTTGGTTCAGATTAGTTAGAAAGTTGAAAGCTGGTTTCAGTCTAGCCATGTTTTAGAATCGCTGTTTATCTTGCTTGTTTGTTCAACTTTTAGAAACTAGTAGTAAAACTATTTTTCTGTTCTAGAGTTTTATTTCTGATATGTAAACCTTGATGACTGATTTACTGGATCTTCATTGAGCTTCATGTTCTTCAAACGATCCCAAGTTACAGTTCTCGTATTTTTTATCCTAAATCATAATACCGAGAATCTAAGATTTTTTGGCAGATTCAAAGACCGTTATTAAAGATTTCCTTTTGGACGCGGAAGTGGGCGTAATAGAGATTCCATTGTAATTCATCAACAACTGTGACAATGGATTTTCAAACTCGTTGTCAACCAAAACAATTTTATCAAATTCAAAGAAATTTTATTAAAGATTTCCCTTTCGACGCGGGAGGTTTACATCGACTTCATCAACTYTGTTTAACAATAGATTTTGGCCCTTTTTTTTCTTTTTTTCTACAATTAGTTTCAAGTTGGTCTCTACATCAACCAAAACAATTTACATCACATGTTATTACCTTTTCAACAGTGAAAACTTCGCAAATATGGCCATCGTAGTGAGCCGACGCCATTACTAGATCAACTATTCATTATTCCATAACACGAATCTATTAACCGTACACAGGCCCGTAGCTAGGGGGGGGGGGTGCATGGGGTGCGTTCGGACCCCCCCCCCCCCCCCCCCCACGCGAGCTAAAGGTCCGCTTTTCAAGCAAGTCAGATTTTGGCTGGTATGATATTTTCACGTAAAACTAAGTAAAAAAAATCAATTTTACTTCAATAATTTATCTATACCTATGCGTCCTATGGGACTTTTAAAAAATAAAGTATATGGTTGGTCCACTTTTTGTAAACTAGCACCCCCCCAACAAAAATCCTAGCTACGGGCCTGGTACATGATAATTCTGTAAGACAGAGTGCAAACAATATAACCGTGAAACTTTAGTAATACTAAATAG